ACTTTCTGAGGTTCAAATTCAGTATTTTCTGCTATTTTCAGTGGTGCAACCTGAAGATCAGAGTTACATATATATTGATAGCTTGCAGGCTGTATTTGGCCCCCCAGACTTATTTTGTTGGACCCACATAGTGATTTTGTTTTGTTTTATTGAAACCTGAACATTTAAAAACTGAACATTACATAGAAATCCAAATTTTGACATGTTTTTTGAAAAATCAGGAGCCATAATGACACCAGCCCCATAGCTTTCATCACAATTGTCTATTAGCCCTGAGTAGCCACTGCTTCTCTCACATAGGGTGGTTGCTCTCCAGTTCTGCATGACCTGTATTATGTAAGTGGCATTTGTGCATGCACTTAAGTCCAGAAGTCTTCAATAATGCTGTCCCTAAATATAATGAGTTACATCATGGTTACCTCATGTCACCTTATACTGGTTTTTCTGCTTAGAAATTTTTCTTTGTTCTTCAATATTCTTCCTCTTTTAGAATTCAGCTTAAATATTCTTTGTAAAGCCCTCCTGGTCAAAGCCAATCACTTCTTCCTCTGTGCCCCTGTGTTTATTCATTTGGAATAGCACCTGTTGTGTTATATTTTAGTGACTAGATAGTAAGCTCCTGAGGGTAGGGTTTGAATCTTCCCTTCTTTTTGTTTCTATTTTACAGCATTGTTGCTTGACAAAGAGTGGGAACTAAATAAATGTGCTGAATTATGTGATGTTAACATCTAAAAATTAGGAAAGTGGTAAAGGATTCATTAGGCAGAAAGAAAAATCGTAGTTTTCATCTGAATGTTCTTCTCCTTCCAGTGTCTAATATAGTTTCTTTTCCTCCCCTTAGCTTCCAACAAACTCATTTGTGTTTTTCAGACAAATAGTCATTTTTTGTAAGGATCAGAATACATTGTAGCTGTGTTCAGGGTTACAAGCTAGCAAGTAATGGAAATGAAATTTATCAGTGTTTGCTTGCCTGAAGAGTTCACGAATATAGCTGATAGGCCAACTTCTTACCATACATGTGCTTTTAGATAGATGAAACATTTAAGTGCTATATGATAATAGCTATATCATAGAGTTCTTGGAAGAGATGAAAAAATATCTATGTAGATATGAAATTGTAGCTAAGCAGTTTCTGTAGAACAGAGTTTGACCCAGAGTAAGTACCCCAATAAGTAGAGTTTTATAATCAATTATAATTATTTCATATGTAATTATAATGATTATTTATCAATACTCAATTRTTATTATTACTACTACTTAATTAATGTTCTGTAGGAAACATGGATTTTCTTCTCTTTCTTGATTTAAATTGTTGGAAGTCACAGAGGTTGAGTATTGGCCTTTCTGCAGAAACCATCTGCTAGGCCACACTTAATGTAACTTAGAATATTGCATTTGGAAGGGATTTTGGAGGTCAGGTAGTTAAACAGGTACTTATCGAAAGCAGTAGTCTCTTCATTTTCCAGTTAGAGATGATCAGTCATCTAAAGACTATCAGGATATTATAGTGACATAAACTGTTCTTTTTAGAAGGAACATGTATTGTTAAAAAATCATTTATATTGCTTTTTTTAAAGTTCTATCCTATGTAGAATTTAAATATCATTTTTATTTTTTACACTGTAGTTTATAGTCTTCCAAAATAGTTGAACAAACTTACCTCTTTATTGGTGGTTCTCAAAGTCTGACCCAGGGATCCCTTTTAACTAAGACACTTTCCTGGTAAGACTTTTTCTCTCTACTTTTCTTTTAAATCAGAGAATTCATAAAGATCAAAAGCATAGGCTAAATTTTTTATGTGCATTCTTCTGGAGCAAGGTTTGATGACCTAAAAGAGTTTAAAAATTACTGCTTTGGACATGTTCATGACTAAATTTTGCCCTGAGATGAAATATAACATATGCATCTCAAAGGGACAAAGAATGACCAATTTTTAGTTAGAATGATAAGAAATTTTTTGAAAGTAAAGGTTATGAGTTGCATGGAAAGAGAAGAATGAGTTTAAAAGCAATGAGATAGAGGCAGAGTTCACTTATATCCAGAATCTCAACCCTTGCATTTTTGGTAAAAAATCTTTTCTAAGGAATGCTAAGCAGAATGTAGGATTCACTAAAAAAACAGTYTTTTGAAAAATTTGTGCTACAGAATGAGAAATAACGATTGTGCCCTGCAGTGGATGATCACTTTAGCTAAACATAAATAGTATTACGACTATTTATGGGGGTGGGGAGTGGGTACTGGGGATTGAGCTCAGGTGCACTCGACCACTGAGTCACATCCCCAGCCCTATTTTGTATTTAGAGACAGGATCTCACTGAGTTGCTTAGTGCTCATCATTGCTGAGAATTTTGCAGATTTTCCTGAGTTATGGTCAGTTCAAATAAATTTCCCATGTAAATTAAAAAAAAATTTTTTTGTAGTTGTGGATGGACAGAATGCCTTTATTGTATTTGTATATGGTGCTAAGGAATGAACTCAGTGTCTTGCACATGCTAGGCAAGTGCTCTGCCACTGAACCCTAGCCCCAGCCCCTCCCATGTAAATTTTGATGAAACTGGTATAGGGATATATATTATTTTTGTATGTAAGTTATCATTACTGATTTCCATCAGTAGCTAATTAAATAATCAATAGTAATACCCATAAAATATGTAACTTTTCCATAATTTTGCACAATATTTAAAACAAAAATGAAGTGAAGTATTATGTTTATAAATATATTTTAAAATTCAGTAGAGGGCACAGTACTAAAGATCAGAGGTGCTAATAAAATTTGGAGAAAAGTGTAAACTATATTTTAAAACATTTTTATATTTTTTAAAACTTAAAATAAGGGTCCAGTGGTATAGTTCAGAATCAAAGCTTATGGAGGCCTGAGTTCAGTCCCCAGTACAGTCCCCCAGAACCTCCCAAAACCCTTAAAGTCACTGAGGGAATCTTAATAATGAAAGTTGCAGGAGAATTAATAGTTTTGTATTTATTTATATAGCATATGTTATTTTGRCTTTCTATGGGAATGGCAATATAAGACTGTAAAAGGTATACTTAAAAAATTTGAGAAGTTTAGTATATATGGTATAACAGTATAGACCGTAACTGTTAAAAAAGATATGTTGRACATAATTGCTTTTTCTGTCTATTTCCAAATTTAAGGTAGGTGCTAAGGTCTTAACAAAAAATAAAGGAACTTATTAAGCTATGATGGTCTCTTTAGTTGGTAATAGGAAGAATGACACTTTGAGGTATAGTGGAGAATCACRAACACTGAAAGGAGGTGAGGACTCCTTTAGCTTTTTCTTTTCTTTCATGTAGAGTGTGGAAGATGTCTTCTCTGCTAGTGAATGATTGCTTCATTATATTTAAAGACTGCAAGGTCTGTGGACTTATAGGATAAACTAACTAGTGATTTGAGTTTTTTCCTCTCAGAACTCTCACTTATGGATTAGGATGAAGTGAGAATTCCTTCAGTAATGTTTAAACTTTGATTTAGGGTTTGGTACTGTGTCATTCCAAGTGTGTGTTGAATAAATGTTGTTTAATGACGATAAGAGAATAATTTTTTCCAGGAGGGGTTCTCCTTATATTTACATGGCACGTTTCTCATAATGGTTTCACAATCATGGGAAAATAGAAATCTTGCTTAAACTTTAACTCTTTCACTGTATGATTTTTGTTCGTTATGCTATTATAAGTTTTTGATGAAATATTAGAAAATAATTCATTTCACACAACCCAAATCCTCTTAACATTTGAATGTACTATAATTGAGTTTAACTGGTATATTTAAAACAAATAACATTCATTGAATTTGATTAATAAACATGGACTTTTTCCCACATTTTTATTGGTGCATTATAGTTGTACATATTGATGGGATTTGTTATTACATATTCATACATGCACACAATATAATAATATAATTTGCCCAGTAATACTTCCTTCCACTTCCCCCTCCCTCTTGCCTCCTACCCCTTGGTCCCTTTCCTTTACTAATCTCCTTTTGAGATTTTTCTTTTTGAGATTTTCCTTTCTAGAGAAAACATATCACCTGACCTTCTGAGTTTGACTTATTTCACTTAGCATAATGGTCTCTAATTCCATCCATTTTCCTGCAAAGGGCATAAATTTCATTTTTCTTTATGGCTGAATAAAATTCTGTTGAAGCATGGGCTTTTCAAGGATATAAGTTGGGTTTAGGAGTTTTATGAATAGGACTTATTATATATTATTGTAGTTTTGCTAAATGGCAAAATAATTGGTATTGCCTGGTTAGAGTGTTTTAAAAATTAGAATGTTAGCTCAGCATCCTAAAAATATCTCTATATGTATTTCCTTAATGCATGTAATAAAGTAGCTATATTTTGAACTCATGAATGCATTAATTTCTAAACATTTTTTTTTGTAAATAAATCAGCAAATGACCTTAAGAAAATAACACTAATTCCTTGAGGTGTGTATGGGGAATGGTATATGTATCCAAGATATGCTTTGTAGAAATTACTTGAAAATCAAGGAACCTCAAATGGAAAAATTTTAAAACACTTTGCTATAATACATTCTATAAGGTAATTAAATCTTTATATATAACATATAAAATGTAGCTTTTCAAAAGAAGTATGGAAGTTTTTGCTTTCAAAATAGGGTTTCTTAATAGTTAATTGCAGCTGGGCACCATGCACCCTGTAATTCCAGTGACTTGGGAGGCTGGGGCAACAGGATTGCAAATATGAGGCCAGCCTCAGCAATTAAGTGAGATCCTGTCTCAAAATAAAAAAATAAAAAGGACTGGGGATGTAGCTCAGTAATAGAATGTTCCTGAGGTGCATCCCCAGCATCACTGCGGGGGAGGAGGGGCAGGGGTAAGGATAATTGCATTAGGTGAATACTTGAAATAAATACTAATAATACTAATCCAGAATAAATACTAATACAGTTACTCAAATGGTGTCATCTTCTCACATTCATATCATTAATACATTATACACATATTTTTCTTTCAGTTGGATATGTCAAGTGACCAGATAGCTACCAATCTGCAAGCAGTTATTRATGAAGTGTGTAAACATAGACCTCTGAATTTGGGTAAGTGGTGTGCTGAGGGTGGACTTCCCTGTAGCACTGTGATACTTTAAAAAATATAAAATATTAGGAAAACAAGTAGATTAATATGAAAATACATGTTCTAGGAATTAAATAAATAAAATTTACTTCTTCAAAGTATTCCTAACTRCCTTATTAATGAGTCATAGTTTTTAGAGAGGGACTTCTTTATCACTTATACAAACACATTTACACATTTCCATGTTATTTCTATCATTAAATGTAATAAAGTTTGAAAGAAAACAGATTGCCTTAAACTTATAATGGTATTAAATAGGAACAAAAGTCATTTAAGAAATGTTATTTTGAAGCTAGATCATTGACTTTGTCTCTGACACTAGTACATGGCTTTCTTATTTACTTATTTTAGAAAAGAAAGATAATTTTTGTCATGTTATGAAAGTCACTTCTTATAAATAGGTGATTCATGGAGAATCACTGACTTGGTCATGATGTGGAAACTAGAACACAGCTAGCCTGGCACCTTTATCATTGCATTGCTTCATTCAGATTCCTTCCTCAGACAGACTTCATTCATGGATAGCTGAAGCTAAGCCAGGATCCATTATAGTTAATTGGCTAGTTAATTGACTATTCACTAATAGGTTAACCATGACAGAAATTTGTCAGGGTTAGTGTTATAACTACATTAATAATTAAAGCACAATCATAAGCTGTTTTGTTTTCTTTTTCTTTTTAATGTTCTCTGGGAGTTAAACACTTCAKTTGTTCTATGGCTATAGTACCTAGTCATTGTATATTTATGGATTTTTATCTTCCACAGAAACTTTGATTTCAGTATAGCATCCTCTGAGACTATAGCAGAAGTGGAATGGTAGACAGTAAATCGAAGTAGTGATGTTATTTTATTTTTTATTTTGTGTCATTTAAAATGAAATCTCTTAACATTGTTCTTGTGAAAAGCTTTTTAATTTTTAGAGAATTTTACCAACTGTTTGGTAACAAAAGGTAGCATCTATGCAGACTGTTTTAAATATTTAGAGTATTTTCATCAAATGTAAATATCACCATCTGCTCCCTTCACTGTTGACTTTGCAATAAAATAAATTCTAGGTGATCATCTTCTGGAAGAAAGAAATAAATTATTAGTGAGTGTGTGGTTTTAAGGATAAATCTCTAGTACAGCTAGTTTTGTCTTCTGCTCTAGAAATGAATCTGTCTTTCCTTTCTTAGAATTTAAAATATTACTCACCAACTTAGTACTTTTCAAGTGAAAATATGATGTGAGTCCTKTAAGGTTTCCTGTTGTTTATTTGTATTCGCACCTTAGGAATCCATAGAATAAACATCAAAATTGATTCTTGTCTTTGTTTCTAGGTCCCTTTGTGGTACGTGCCTTCCTTCGTAGCTCAACAAGTGAAGGTTTGCTACTAAAGATTGATCCATTGCTGCCCAAAGAAGTAGAAACTAAGGAAAGTAACCAAGAAGCTGCCTAAAAGTGTTGAAYTGTGAAATTCTTTTCAACGGATTAAGAAACAACAAAGAAAATTATAAAACTGCATAATTTCTACATTTGATGTCTTATGATTTCTTGAACATTGCACTTAGAAGTAAATTTTAACAATGAAAATTTATACAGTTTCAAAATTAAGGAAATATTTTCTCTGAACCTACTTTTTAAACTCTTATCACATTTACATATTGGTAGATATAACAGCAGTTTCTAGCTTACAACAACTTTCCTTTGGAGCCATAACCACCTGAGGGAATGGTAACATCCTTGGTTCTCACAAGGCAGAGAATGGCCAAGTCATGACCTACATTACAAACATAACCATTTTTTATAATTTTAATTCATTTATTTGTTCTAATCAGTTATACATGACAGCAGAATGTTCTTCGATTCATTATACACAAATTGACTTCTCTGGTTGTACCTAAAGTAGCATCACACCATTGTGCAATCATACATGTACCTAGGGTAATGATGTCTGTCTCATTTCACTATCTTTCCTACCCCCATGTCCTCTCCCCACCTTTGCCCCATCCAGAGTTTCTCCACTCATCCTATCCCCGCCCCACCATTATGGATTAGCATCCACTTATCAGAGAAAACATTTGATTTTGGGGGATTGGCTTACTTCACATGATATTCTCTAACAAACTTAACTGTTTTTTAAAGAAAAAAATGTGGAAAGTATTCATTCTAAGGAATTCTTCTTCTAACCCCCCCCCCTCTATTTTTTGTCAGTACTAGGCATCGAACCCAGGGCCTTGTGCATGCTAGGCAAGCACTCTACCCCTGAACTACATCCCTAGCTCTGATTACCATCTTCTGAAAGCTTTGATTAATCATTAAAGATCCTAAATCATAAAGTAGGAGCTGTGTTATTTTATTTATTTAGGGCTTTGTGCATGATACATATAGTCAAGGACTGTACCACTGAGTTTATACCCCCAACTCAAGAATTCTGCTATTTTTTTTTGAAGATTTTCTTCTGATTAATGGAGAATATTCATTATTGAAAAACTTAAAACACTGGTAAATTTAAAAAAAATTCATAATACTACTACCCAGGGATAATCAGCATTAATATTTCAGTACTTCCTTGTTTCCAATTGAGAGAGAGAGCATGCGTATAGGGGCGGGGGGGGGGCAGGGAGTATATGCTTCCAGTCTCTTGGGCTATTACAGTCATTTCTCTATATTATTTAAAATCTCATATGAAAAGTATCATTTTGGTGATTGAGCAACATTTCATCCTGTTGATATTCTGATTTATGGAATCATTCCCCCAGTTGGTAAGCATTTAGCTGGTTTCAGAGTCCCCCATCCATTATTTGCCATGCATTAGAATATAATTTATTTTTCTCTTCATTTCTAGAAGTGGCGTTCTAGGGTGAAAAGATCTGATGTAGATAAAGGTCTCATGTCTTTAGAAAGGTGCCTTGTGAATCAAAATAAACCATAAAAATAAAGCTTTCTTTAGACAGGAACATTCCCTACTCTTCTATTAGAGCATTTGTTGAAATTGTCTTAACTAGAAACTTGTTGAAAGTTTATAGTGGCATGCTTCTGGAAAAATAGTAGAATTCCACTATATTACTCTTGGTTTTTTTTGGCGGGGGGAGGGACCAAGAATTGAACTCAGGGGCACTCAATCACTGAGCTACATCCTTAGCCCTATTTTTTGTATTTTACTTAGAGACAGGGTCTCACTGAGTTGTTTAGTGCCTCGCAGTTGTTGAGTCTGGCTTTGAATCCCCAATCCTGTCTTAGCCTCCAGAGCTGGGATTACAGGCGTGCAAGCACAGTATTACTCTTAGAGAACAATAAACTAAATCCATTTTAAATATTTTCTTCTTAGGGCACAATGAGTTAAAGCCTATATTTTTAAAAAAAGACAAAAGTTTTTTTATAGGAAGTACTTTTTAGTTTGCATCCAAATCACCTGAAGGGTTTACAAAACATAAATTGCTAGGCTTCAGCAATATGGGGAGGACCTTGAAATTTTTATTTTCTAACTGGCTGTTTCTGCTGCTGATGGTTCAGGGACTATACTTTGAGGCTGGTATAAACTGATATTTCTTTTAACCATGGATAAAATAAAAACATCTCTTACTTTGGAGCCAACATYAGTTTATTTAAAAGTTCTGCAAGTGATTCTGAACTAACAGGATTAAAAATTACTATTATATGCTAACAGCCAAATTATAAAATAATAATAAATGTTTTTAAAAACTGAGCTGAAAAAAAATGGATAATGCACTGAGCTTAAGAACTAGAATTAGTTTCTAACTTTCTGGTATATTATTTATTTGTAAAAAATAGTTTAAATTCTTGAATTCTAACCTTATGAACAAACAACTCAAGTTCTGTGACCTGAAGTAAGACAAAGATGTCATATAGTGGCACCAATGTGATTTCTAACCAAAATTTTATAATACATCTTTTAGCAGGTGGCATTTTACACTGTTTGAAGTGATGTAATAAGACATTATTAGGTAGCATTACTAATATATGCACATATCAGAACATGAATTTGATGGTATTATTTAAAACCTTATTAAAAACTAGATACTTTGAGTAGAATGGGTTTATTTCAGTGTTTTTTTTTTTTCAAATCTTAACTTTTATAGCAAGTAGYGTCCAGTAGATGGCGATAATTGCCTTTCATACAACTTTTAAATATTTGTGTACTTACTGATAAATTCTTGATTTTTCACTTAACTCTACAAATAAAATAGCAAAAGTAATTTTTATAGACCACTTGGGAGCTTTGTTTCGGAGTGAACTTTTTTCTTCATGTTTTACTATTTTGGGCATGTTACAGAGGTTGTTTTAGGTTTCTAATAATGTAAATTTAGAAGTTTTAAAAATTTGTTTTTATTAAATAATTTTTCAAATACACAGAATATAATTAAATAATGAATGCCAATTTACATATCACCCACATTCTGCAATTAACAACATTCTGTTATTGTTCTATTTTCATCAGTTCCTTCCAGTTACCTACCACYCCTCATTCCTGCTATAGTAATTAAAGCAAATGTCACATATTGCTTAACCTATAAAGTTCTAAAAGTAGTCAAGCTGTAATTACCYGARAAATCCATTGTTTTTTCTATTCTGCTTGGGCTATTGAGGGTTATGTTTTTTTAAATATATATATTTTTTAGTTGTTCATGGATCTTTATTTTATTTATTTATATGCAGTGCTGAGAATCGAACCCAGTGCCTCACACATGCTAGGCAAGCACTCTGCCACTGAGCCACAACCCCAGCCTCATTTTTGTTTTTATTTTTGAGATGGGGTCTTGCTATACTTCACAGGCAGTTCTCAACCTTTGGCTCAAATGAACCTCCTGCCCCAGCCTCCTAACTAGCTGGGACTACAGGTATATACCATCATGCCAAGCTAAGTCCTTAGTTTCTTTGGATTATTTTTTTCATGTAATGACAATATACCCACTTCTAGCACTTTTAAACTTGGAGTGTATATTAACATAATTAGTAACAAAAGGTATGTAATCAATAAAAAATGAGAAATTGGTAAAAATTTTAAGTCAATATAAAATTAGATATTCATTTTATAAGGAATAGAAGATATGTTTGGGTATCTTCATCTAATAGTATTCAAAAGAACAAAGATTTTACTATATTGTTTATTTTTAAAAATAGAAGCACATTACATAAAAATTGGTGAATAGAGACATGAACATAATGAAAGATTTAAAGAAAGAATTCAATGACCCATAATCCCCTAAAACAACAATTTAGCATTTTTGTTGCATTTTTCTTTTTCCTTCTCCCTATGTGGAGGTCTCCTTTCCCGGTAAAGTTACATGTTTATGATCAGGTTAGATGCAAAGTAGAAAGGGAAACATCTTGGCTCTGGAGGATTCCCACATTTCTAGCTCCTCAGTCACTTTTGGTTGACAGAAGAAAAGAAAGCTATTTGCTCAGTGAAAAGTCTTAACACTTTGTGTCTCATTTTGTGCTACATAAAGCTTTGTATAATTGTTTCCTGAGTTGGTTGTTGCTTTGATGAAAATTAATTTATATAAAATCATAGGTTAAATACAACAACCTAGTGTTTCCTCAAAGAGCAATATGTATACCATTGGTGGTATAAAAAATGAATTTAGATAAGAAGTGACTCACATTTAAAATTAATAGTAAAGGGACTGGGGTGGGATTTCAATCCCTAGTACCAAAATAATAAATAAATAGTTAAGTACGTCTTCAGTGTATTGGTAGAAAAATGTTATGGTTTAGATATTAGATATCCCCACCAAAACTTGGGTGAGACAATGCAAGGAAGTTCAGAGGTGAAATGATTCAGTTATCAAAGTCTTAACTTAATCAGTACATTAAGCCTGAAAAGGATTAACTGGATTAATTGTAGGCAGGTAGGGTACAACTGGAGAGGGTGAGTTCCTGTGGGCATGCCTTTGGGTATATATTTTGGTTTTGGTCAAGGGAGCTTCTCTTGGTGCAATGCCCTTAGTTGCTTTCTTCCTCCACATCTTTCACCATGATGTTCTGCCTCACCTTGGACCCAGAGCAATGCAGTTGGCTCTCTGTGGACTGAGGCCTCTGAAACTGTGAGCCTCAAGTAAACTTTTCCTCCTCTAAAATTGTTCTTGTCAGGTCTTTTGTTCACAGTGGTAACAACTGACTAAGACAAAAAATATAACCTGCACATAAAGACCATGATTTCAATTGGCATCTAATATGAGTAAGATATGAGGTCTTGCCAAAAACTCATATGTGAGACAATGCAAGAATGTTCAGAGGTGAAATGATTAGATTATGAGAGCTGTAATCTAATTAGTGAGTTRATCCACTGATATGGATGTACTGGCAGTAACTGTAAGCAGGTATAGTGTGGTTAGAGTAAGTAGGTCATTGTGGATGTGACTTTTGAGTTTATTTTGTCCCTGGTTAGTAAGGCACTCTGTTTCCTGTCATCAACTGATCAGCTTTTCTCTGCCATGGCCTTCCACTATAATGCTCTGCCTCACCTGAGGCCAAGAGCTCTGGAGTCAGCTGATCTTGGACTGAACCTCTGAAACCATGAACCAAAAATATTCTTGTCAGGTCTTTTGGTCACAATGATGAAAGCTAAAATAGTATCATTGCCTAGGATGACATTATAGTAAGTAATT